AGTACTTGTACCCATCCTGCTGCTAGTTCATTCATTCTCGCTTAGTATTCTGACACCCCGCGCATCCCCGCACCACTGCCACTTCTTGCTGACATCCCGTCGTCAAGCGACCCGTGGGACACGACTGACTGGGCAACTAACCATCGACCCCACGACACACCGTCTACGGATCCCGGCACAATCCCTGGGACTAACATCCCTCTCTCCATCATCCCCGACAGGGAGTTCCTCGCGCTAATGCTGACAACGGCGAACGACGAAGCGATAGAAGAAGAAGCTCCAACGGCGCCAACCACCGAACCTGAAGAAGACCCCGAGGTGGTGCGTACGCGCTATATGCGCACCTCCGGACTCCACACATCCGACAACCTATGGCATCAGCGCCTCGGTCACCCCTCGCGCGTAACGATGAACAACTGCATCATTGCAAAAGTCTTTGCGCCTGGCACACTCTTACGCCCTGACGGCTCCGAGATAAAGACCACATTGCAGCCACGCACCTGCACAGTCTGCACTGAAGCCGCGTTGAGCCATCAACCATTTCCGCTGCTAGAATCTGGAACCATCCGCTACCCCAAGCTGCATAAGGTGTACAACGAGTTCCTCGTCGTTGGTCACTGCGGGCTTAACGACGATGCAGGAACCCGCTACGTATGGATCGCGAACGTACAGTTCCTCAGCAGGGTGTACAAGGATTTCTGCCTCTGGCTGGCTCACGCGCAACGGCAATCAGGAAAGAAGCTGCAGATCTGGCAGACCAACGGGGCAGCAAGGAGATGCAGGACTACCTGGGGAAAAAGGGGATATCGCATCACATCTCACTCCCCTAAGCGCATCCGCAGCAGGGAGTCGCTGAGTGCACCAATCGCACGCTCATGACAAAGGTGCGCGCTACTGAAACAGTCGAATCTACTGGCCGTACGCTATGCACCACGACGTACAGGTGCAAAATCTGCCCTCCACCACAGCCATTACGAGCAATCTGTCGCCGCACTTGAAGTGGATGGGCAAGAAGGGCGACACCTCCATGCTCCGCGTATGGGGATGTATGGTGCAGTACCGGCACCCCACCTCAACCATCGCGAAGTTCACAAGCCGCGCGCGCTTGGGCATTCACCTTAGCATCAGCTACGAATACAACGTCTGGATCCACCTCGACTTGCCCAGCAACGAAGTCATGCACACGCGCGACGTCATCTTCTACGAGCGACTCAACCTCGCGCAGTTCCGCGCAGACGAGCAAGCAGAAGCAAACCAGGTTTATGCAAATGACGCGCGCAGCTACGCTACCCGTGAAGACGAAGCTGCCGCGGCTATCTTGGACCATGACAACACCAGCGAATCCCTCGACATCAATCGACGCAGCGATGATGACAACAAGTCGCCCCCGGGACCTACGGGAGGAAGCAGCAGGGGCCTCATGCCGCCATCTTCGCATGAGCCGGAGAGCGATGACGACGACGTGCAGGAGGCCGTATCGCAGCATCGCCACGACAAAACGGTCTTCAGACTACAGCTGCTGGGACTTCACGACGCCACCTCCTCAGCCCTGTGCGTCACTGAGCCGAAAAATCCGTGACAGACATTGACGAGACTGCACAGCAAGGATTAGCGCGCAGCTATGGATGCAGAGATTTAAGCGCTACAATCCCGTGACACTTGGGTGCTCATCAATAGAACAGCAATCAAAGGAAGGCGGATCTCTCTGGCAAGTGGGTCTTCCGCGTGAAAACCGTAGCAGACAACGCTTCAAGGCACGTTGGGTCGTATGTGGCTACGACCAGAGGCATGGCATAGACTTTGATCAGACCTTTGCCCTGATCAGCCGCCATGCCTTTGTGCGGATTCTACTCGCCATCGCCACAGCAAGACACCTACCGCTCCGTCATATCGATGTGAAAAACGCTTTCCTATATGCGTTAGAAAATGCGGTGATTTGTGTGGAGCAGCCGCATACTTATGGAGAGGGAGATCCACTTGTGTGTCAGCTGAAGAAACCCCTTTACGGGATTAAGCAAGCGCCAAGGCTCTGGCAGCAGCACCTGCACAAAATCCTACTCGAAATAGGATTCACGTAGCTATCGCACGAACCCGGGATGTACCGTTTGCATTTCTGCGGCGACTACATCATACTCACCGTGTACGTGGATGATTTACTCTACACAGGGACGAGCAACACGCTGCTCGACCAGTTCGACAAAAATCTGGCGATGCGCGTCGACATCACCATGAATCACAACGTGAAGCAGTTCGTGGGCCTTAATATTTCTTACGCCCCTGAAGCCACTCACCCGTCAGCTCTGAAACACTTGGAAAGCGGTTTAACATCAACCCCGCACCACTCTCAACTCCCTACCGCACGCCTGGACCGAAACACAGAACTGACAACAAAGCCCTATCCCCTGCAGGACTACACACCTACCAGCAGCAACAGGGATGCCTGCTCTTTGCATCAGTGACCTGCAGGCCAGATCTCTCCTACATCGCGAGCCAGCTGGCTCAGTACTCTCGTAAACCAACGGCTGAAAATCTCCTAGACCTTCAGCGCGCTCTGCAATTCTTCATCCTCCACGCCCAACATTGGGCTGTGCTACTCCACAGTCACAACTCCCTCATTCAACCTCATCGGCTACTTGGATGCCGATCACGCCGCTTATCCTGACAATCGAGAGGACCGGGTTTCTGTTCCGACTCGAGCCAGACCCCATATCATGGAACTCGCAGAAGCAGGAACTGGTTTCCCTGTCATCGGCGGAAGAATAATTCATCGATGCGACAGCAGCATTTCGCGAAGGGCTCTAAATACAGGAGCTCTTGTAGGAGGCAGACGACCTTTTGCCTGCATTGCAACAACCAGAGCACACTCAGGATCGCGAACAAACCGAGATTCGTCAATCGCACCATACACATCACGCGGCGGTATTTCTTCGTCAAGGACGAAATTGACCAGGGCAAGGTCGATCTGACCTACCGTATTCTCCCGGATAAAACACCCCCCCGTAATTGTACACCCCCGGGTAGCTTGTGCGGGGTGGGTGTTATAATCGACCTCGTTTGTACTATACCCCCCCTTTTGGGGTGATTTTCTATAACACCCCCCTTCTCTTATAGATTCCTATTATAGCTGTTATCGAGTCCGATTCCTTACGGGAGGATATCGCGAGAATTGCTCCCTAGATGACATTTCGCATGTACTTTCACTTAGAATCTGCCGAGATTTCCCCCCTCCCACAATCTCGCTGTTGCCACGTTGGCGAATCTTCCGCTGCAAGTGGCCCAAGTGGTGAAACTCACATTCTCACATGAGGCACAGGGACGTGAGTCGTGACCAAACCAGTCAAGAAGTGACTGGTACAGTGACAACGCACCACCGTGCGCAATTCCGGCCTCGCCGGTTGCATGAACCGTCGCTACGCAAGGTTGGCTTTTCACCCTATCAGGTGCCAGAGTTGCCCACTGGAATTTGCCATGTGGCAGATTCCAGTGGGCGGTCACGTCATCCTCGTATACTCGGTTTTGCGGCATTGATCAACAATCTTGAAGTGAAGTCAGACCCGTGATTTTGTTTCACATCTTTTCTGCTTGATAAAAAATATACCATATAATAAGACCCGGTATTATGTAGGATTTTCCTTTGAGGAGACCCCCCCCAATTTTTCCCAGTGGTTTTCATAATACCCTAGGGTGTTTTATCCGGGAGAATACGATATTGCCCAACCGGTGACATGGCAGCCAACTTCCTCACGAAGCAACTGCCCCATCAACAGTATCAACACTATTTCGAACTCAGCGGAGTGATCAAGCGAGTCGAGACTTCCTACGGCTAGGAATGAAGGGGGGTGTTACGATAAATGAAATGAGAAGTACTGTGCATCCCTATCAGTAGCAAGTGAAGCGTGTAGTAGCAAGTACGAATGTGAAGGGACGGATTTACGCGAAATGTCGCGTATCGTTGGAAGCATCTGGACCGTCGGAGCAGAAGCATCGGGTAGTTGCAGCATGAAAGATTGGGCGGGAACATGTTTGAAGACGGTTAATGCTTCGCACGGTTGAGTTTATCTACAATAAGGGAATGTACCCCTTAGAGTACATGGCCAGTCTTGGTCGTTTTGAATTGCCTTTGTATTACAATACAAACACATGTATGCCTTTGTTATAATCACTTCAGTCATTTTATATTCACTTTGATCTGATGTCATTACTTCCGCTGCAATTAACTCTGTGCGAACCTTCCTAAGGTAATTCTGGCAAGATCAAACTTCTCATCGCAACACCCCCCACCTCCATGTCTACTTGCAGCCCACCCGCGCCATCGTTTCTCTCGACTGGAAAAATCAGGAATCATGCCGTGGTTTGCTGCCAGCGCATAGTCAACTGCCTACAGTATAATCAGGGTAAAAAAAAAAACAACACTGTTGACTCAGGGTAAAATATAAAGAAAAACAGCGGTTACACTAATGATTAGAAGTAACCTCAACAACGTAGGCTGATAGTCAGGGTTTCTGAAAAGACTACACTGCTAATCAGAGAAGTCGAAATCCAATACCCGCCTGAGCTCCCAATCATGGCACACAAATGAACTTGGACCCTACACTTGCAAGACACTTCTCATTGTACATATAATATTTTGAAATTGCTCCATTGGCAGCTCCACCATAAAAACTGTAAGCACCCGAGCATGTCAATGACGGTGACACTGGCTTTTGCCTGCCCTTCTTGCATATGCCAACAACGAATGACCAATACTCTGCTCTTAGGCAAATCTGAACGGCGACATTTACGAACACAACAAATGAAAAAAAAACATGTATTGACAGAAAGAGGTAGGCACACTCAACGGGCAATCAAGGGCAAATAGTTGGAAAAACACCACTCTGGCATTTGAGAAATGACTCCTTGCCCCCTCATCCATGAAGTATACGTTTGGTTCACCCACCAATCTTCCCTCCATTTCCCTCTCATCTCTTGCGCCCCCAACCCAGTTCACCTCCACCCCTCACCTGCACGCCAGTGTTGCTGCCAACAGCAGAGGCGGAGACCGGGATGACACTCGAGCAGATGAGGCCGGGATTGTTGCGGTACAGCTCAGCCCAGCGCACAGCGTTCACCTTTCCAGCCCCCGTTGGGTCGTCCTCACTCCCCGCCTCCAGCAGCAGGCGTTCACACGTGTTCTGTGCTGTAAGCACGCCGTAACGAAGGCACCGAGGCACAGTGAAGGCGAAGGTGGCGTTTCGCTCGACGCACAGAGAGCGGCCCGCCTTGATGGGCTCAGAGCAGTCAAGGCCGGGATTGAGTGCCGTGAGGTTGCTGGTGGTGAGGAACAGCTGGGCGCTGATGGACCAGCATGTGTCGCCCTGGAGGGTTGAACAACGGGAGAGAAGGCACAGATGCATGAGGTGAATGGAGCGCAGCTTTACTATGCGACGGTCTTGCGGAGCTAAGCAAAGCAGTGTGGGAAAATATAGAAAAATAATTTGATGAGATTCCATTCAACGAAGAAAAACAAAACGGGCTAACTCTCACACTGAGGGTGTAGAAGAACGCAGTGCAGGGAACGAGGAGAGGAATTCCCAGCTGAAGCAACATGTCACGAGGCAAAGCCTGATTGCAGTCAATGCCCTGCAATGAGGAGCACACACGATTCTTTAGTCACCACTTCAGGGGATGGCACATCGTTTGCATGATGGGTCAGCAAGTAAATGGACACAGGAAGCTTCAGCTATTAAGTGTAGGTGTAGCAATATTGTTTTTGTGATTGATTTCATTTTACACATTGACGATTTTGCCTATCCACTCTTCCAGCCCCCCCATCTCCATTGGTTACCTTATTCTGCTGTGTGAATTGGGGAAGTGAGAGGCCCACAATAGAGAGGACATCGGGGCACCACCAGTTGCTCCCACTCACTGCGAGGGTGCTGGCTGTGATGTTGGCTGGAAAGCGACGAATGTGAAAGCAGGAGAACACACCCATAAGAAAGTCTTAAAAAAGTAAATCCTACTAGTTGTGCGTGCATCACAAGAATTGACAGTAGAAGCAGTTCGCAGGGGTTGTAATGACCCCAACCCCAACATATGAACCGAATGGAGTAGCAACCCTCTTACAAACCATGCCAAGGCAGCAGCACCTGGGTCGCAGGTGGGGAGGCTGTCAATGGTTGTGCTTTCAACGTAGTTGGGGGGGCAGATGCAGGAGTAGGAGCCCTTGCCATCGTTGATGCATGCGCCCACGTAGCATGGGTTCTTCAAGTCAGACCCACACACGTCCACTGCCAAGCGACATAAACACAATTGTGGAGCACAGTGGTGAGAGAGATACATGTGTTGGGAGCAATGGGAAGAGTAGGGGGAAGGAGAGATAGAACTACGAAAAGATATAGACAGGGACTTGGTTGAAAGCATATATGAAGATCAAACAAGCCCATTGTTCCGAAAACGGCCATTGTTCTGACAAGGGCCATGAATCAAAGTTATTATTTGAGAACATGAACCCAACAACTTACAGTAAGCACACGTTTGAGAGCCATGTCCGTTTGCAACTTGAACAAATGGCTGCTTAGATTCGTTTGGAATGGAACAGTCACACGAATTGCTGTTGTTCCGTAAGTTAGCCCGGCATGTGAACCGCCCACACGGGTTCATGCTGGGCTGCAGGTCACCATCACCCTTGAAGCTCCTCTGGCCGCAAGGGTCCTTAGGGACTGGAGGGTGGTACAGACGAGAACAACAGGAGTAGAAACAGGTGCGGGTGGAAATTCACTGAACAATACTGTAGGCAGGAAAAGGCGAGCCTTAGCCAAATGGCAGGTGTGAATCTGGAGACCGTGAGTTGGGGACTTTACAAACGTTGTGGACCCCACTGGCTCACACTCTCTTCTCTCTGTTGACAATGCCTGCACCCCACTGTATTCCATATACAAAATTCGAGGACATCCACTAGACTAAAGATTGATTAGATGATTGTTCTGCAAATTTCACCCTGCCAAAACACAGTTGACTTTGGGATGTACTGGAAGGGGGGGACTGAGATATGGAGAGAGCGATGGGGGAAGGTGCCCCATTGAAGACAATGAGGTAGATGCCTCACTCTTGACTATGGGGTAGATGCCAGGCAGCACGTTGATGCCACACACGCCATCCCCTCCCTGGATGTCCATGCGCATGTGGCCGCGGTCACCCCACTCCACTCCCCACGAGTTGCGGATGATCCAAAATGGAGGCGCAATGCGATTTTGGCTGCCGTCATTTCTCAAGATGAAGTATCCAATAACGAGTACAACGTGGTCCAGTCTGCCGGTATAGCAGCCAGGATCCTGGTACTTGAAGGTCTGAAGAGAAAGGGAACACCACAACAGATATGGAGGGATGAAACAACGAACAACAAACAACCACTTCAGGCATACAGCTTAATGCAGGTAACAACTTGTGTACAACTCTAGGCTGGCTTTTGGCATACAGCTTAAAGCCGTAAACAACATCTGTACAACTCTTGACAACTTGTGCATACCATAAAGGGTCAACGCAAGAAACACCCACCCCGTCATATTGTGCAAAACTCGGAGCAGAAGCCTCTATGTGAACCACCACTGGCTGTCTTCGCACTGCCAGCATGAGCCCCACAAACCCCTTGAACCTTGTGTGCTCAAAGCCGTGAATAGGGTACTCCCTTTTCTGAAGATGAATAGTTCAAAGGAGATTTCATTACAGATAGGAAGGAAGAGAAAGAAACATAACAGGAGATCACGATGGAAAACGAAAGTTTGCTTGCTGAAAATGCTGGCGGCCAATCATAGAAAGCAGCAGAATGTTGGGTGCATTACAAAATGATTAGAATATTCATTTTGTACTCTATACGTTGCCTTCTGAATGTTATGGAACTCTTAAGTCTGGCTCGGCCCCCTTCCGGCTCATGGCAAGCCGACCTTAGCTGACCGTTGATCATGCTTGGTAGAAGCTGTTTGCCTCTTGCTGCCATAACTCGGTCTCTTGGCCCCGATCCGGCCAATCTATCATTGCGTATCAGACTGCAGGGGCACTCGTATGCCAATAGAAAATTAGTTCAACTCGGTTATAAGTTGCAACCAATGCCAGTGGCTTCAACGACTCGGAGACAGTCCTCATATCACCAGTTGAAGTATAGTCGCAACTCTCTCAACATCGGGCACACCACTTCAAGGTTCCCTAAATCTCTAGAATCACACTTCACCACACTACTCACAGGCGCTCCAACCTCTGTGACTCCACCGCGAGGCAGCATGAGAAGCCTTTCCAACGCCTCGGTGGGGGAGCCCCCCGTGCTGCACTTGTCAGCTTCGGAGGTGAGCCCCATGGCTGCAAAGAGTGACTCCACTGATAGCTGCGGTGCCTGTGCATTCAAGGCAATGCCGTATGCCGCTTCCACACTCGCCACCAGCGCAAACGCCCAACAAGCACCTGCGTATGATGAAAATTGGTTCGTGAATAATTGAAGCTCATGCGATGACGGCTGAAAAATGATGAAGACTCATATTGCCCTGATAATTGTGCGATAGTTCAAACATGAAAGTGACCAGCAGCAGAACAGCAAACGGAAAGACGCAGATCGTAGCAACTAACCAAGACACACCAGCCCAGCTATCGGCTCCAACATGCTTCATCAGGTTCCCATTGGTTTCACTCACTGCAGTCTCTTTGGTCCTTGACGGGCCAGCCAAGGAAGGGCACGGAGTCCCAGGAGTGGAAGTCGCTGATGACCCACGAGTCCTGCTTGCTGGGCGCAACACGGTAGTCCGCACTCACATAGCGCGGGAAGGGGCTGGCCCGTGCTGGCATGTATGTGTTCGTTGATAGCTGCAGGCCATAGGCTGTGACATGCTCAGAAGTTGAATTATAGAGAAAGGAATGAGATGTGAAAGTGACAAGTTGTTACAAGACAGAACTTGAAGGGGGATAATGAGTACAATGGTCTGGGGTGCATTGCCCTAACGTTGCTGAACTGCAACCCTTATCCAATAACATCTGCACCTCAAGTGGTCATTACAAATTTGTTTTACATCCACCAAACAAGCACTCCGTTCAAGCGTGGTTCATGCATGTCTCTCATAAAAAATTCGCTTCCCTAATTCCGTAAACGAAGTTGCTCAGCTTCTCCATTTTCCAGTTTGCTTCAGATTTATGCGCACCGTGCTGTGCACCATCAACCACACTGTCTAGGTTATTTTTCCTTGTTACACCCAATCTACTGAATGCATGAGTATTTAGTACAAAGAACCTCCAAAAGAAAAGAAAAACATGGTAAGACGGAGAGTGAAGGATACATGTCGAAAGATAAACAAACGCGAGGGGAAACGTCTGTACACATTATAAGATGATAATAACAATCACTCAGTCACAATGCTTGCCTCTTTTGTCCTTCTAACAGAGGTAGTTGCGAGAGTCGGAACAGAAGCATGGGAGACGATGTCTCACCTGTATTACGTGTGACTGTTCGGGGAGAAGCAGGAAGGCCTGCGCAAAGACAAAGCAATCAGAGCGAAGATAGAGGACACCGTGTAATATTCAGAAAATGTGTGACTCATATCAAATTGCAGTCACTTTCAAATTGACCTCCATCGGTAACCTCATGAGCACCAGAGCTAACCTCATCTTCACCAGCACTACCCCCATCGTCACAATTCTTTACATCACCATCCACTCCCTCAGTCTTGTTGCCACCTCCTTCACATCCTCCGGACTGGACCTCCCATGTTGTTAACCACCATGCCAAGCCCATCCCCCTGCCAGCACACACTGCTTACCTGTATCCACTGTCGATTCAAGAATGACATGCCGCTGAAACGGCTTCACAGTGGTGGACGCCACGAAGCCAAAGAAGAAGGCGGGCTGATCAACTGCACCCTGCAGCACCTCACACAGCGCCAGCCTCCACTCCAGCACCGCCTGCTGCGGCTTCTCCTGCGAGTCAGCCAGGAAGACCTGGATGGTGCCGGGGTCTCCTGGCTCATAGTCCACCCACGCCGTGTACGCCTTCCTGTTGCTCAAAGGGAAGGGCGACCTCACAGCGACTAGAGATTTGTCCTCGCCTCGAACGTTCAGCCCCACATGCTGGCTGCTCATGTCGCCGTGCTCCTTGTTCCGCAGAGTGTCAAACTCCACCGCCATGCTCCGTGTGTCCATTCCACCATACCCCACACCAGCGCCACTCCCCACCTGGTCCGTTGCCGAGATGACAAACGCTAAGCCGTTGAAGCCCACGTGGCCAGATCGAGGCGAGAGGGAGAAGGTGAAGTTGGCGTGAAAGGCGAGCTGCAGCCCACACCGCGACAGTCCCTGGTGTGCCTCGTACACAAACAACTTCACCGGCTCTGCGGTGAAGTTCCCCTTCGTCTCGCACTGCCCCCCCCTGGTGAGTATAGATGCTGGTGGGAGAACCGCCTGACTGCTTGAGTAGTTTTTGTTCTGCCCTGCACAAACATAGCAGACGGATGGACAAGAGTGGGATATGTGTAAGAACTTGAGCGAAAATTGATTGATTCAATAAAGGAGCTCAAGGATTCGAAGTACATTAGAAAATGGGTGGGAACAGATGGGCAGGGATCGGGGCCCAATTCCCAATGAGATCGGCTGAAACCTTCCACTGGTGGTGGGGTTGAAGGTTTCAGTTGATCACATCACATTTGGGTTGGGTTGGGATATTGGTGTAACACCCAACCACAAAAACTACTACACTAAAGTAGGACATTAAAAGTGCAAGTACAAACATGAGGTGGAAGTCTATCTCTAACAATATGGAGGCATGACTGGGTGATACCTAAGAATTTCGATCAACAAGGTCATGTGAGTTGGACGTCCCACCATTCTGTAAATCTGTATGTGGTCATGTTTCATAGATTTGAAGTGGTGTCCCCTACCTTGAGCAACACAGGTGATCCCTCCAAATTGCACGAATCCCGCATCACACAGACATGTGGGTGCCAAGCTAGCCCCCTCTGGATAGCACACCCCATGTCCTCCACACGCAGCAGCAGCAGTAGCACCAGCAGCAGAGGAGACGCCACAGAATGCATTGCATGCAGCCTCCTGTCGCTGCGGCACTGAGGCACAGCCAAGCGGCAACGTGAAGCAGTTGGCATCAAAAGAGCGAGGCTGGCATGCCCCGTCGGGCAGAGGGCCCGAGAGGAAATTGCTGGAGAGATCCAGGGTTAGCGCAGCAAGGGGCTTCAGTGCGCGGCCTGTGAGGAAGTTGTGAGAGAGGTCTCTGCAGGAAGGAGGTGCAAGTGCAAGTGCCGGGAGAAGGATGGGTGGGGATTGCCTCAATGCATCTGGATAAAAAAAAGTGGAGTGCAGGGAGCGAAGATGTGAGGGGTTGTTGAGAAGAATGGGTATACGGGTGGGGGAGCAGAAGGGGATAGACACGGGCTGGCGGAGGAGAAGAATGAGGAGTCAACGAGAAGGGGAGCAGAAGGGGAAGGTGTGGTGGAAGAGAAGGATACAGAAGAGGGAGAGGAAGAAGAGGCATACGAGGATGGTTGGTTGATTGAGACCAGGGAAGAGAGAAATCCGAGAAATGAGGAAGAGAGAAACGAGGAAGCAATCCGAGGGATGTGAAGATGGGTATACAGGGCACTGGAACGGCAACCACGGGCATTCATGTGGTGTTCTATTGACCGGTTTGACTCTTAAGTGGTACTGGGTAGTGTTCAATGTTAGTTAACATCACCTTTGAAATTTCTCAGTATTTCTCCAAAATAAATCTTATTGACCATTGTGATTAGAGGGCATGCATGGCAAGGCAGCGAGGCGAGAAAGTGCAATCAGAATGCATGCAACATGAGCATGCATGATACGGCAGGTGCTCTTGTGGCTTGCGGGAATCATGGATTTGGAAGTGCAATGAGCATTCATCTGTGATTAAAAACAAATGTACAAGAGGGAGACCACCAGAGCAATCGAAAAAGAGTGGTGATGCATGGGTCGTACAAGAATGTGAGCTGCGTGAGCTGGGTGAGAGTGCTTGGTATGCTCCCATACAGCTGGTTGAAGGCGAGTGACCTGGTGGCCATCGTGGTGGGACGGAAGGATGTTAGTGGAGCGATGGGAAGGATACAACAGGAGAATGAGGACGGATCGAGCACCATGTTGGGTAAGGGCGTGGTCGTTAACATTGAGCAGACACGAACCGTGGCTAGAGGCATGATGGTGATACAGAAGAATGGTGCACAATTCAAATGCTAGATTTGCTTACAAAATTCATTTGCTTGAATTATGTAATAGGTTCGCGTTGGGCCGCGGCTCGGGACTAACCGGCCCAGCTCGCCTTTCACAAAGCCACCAAAATCCTAACTATGCCAGTTTGGCCTAACTTGGGCAGAAGCAAGTTCGTCCTTGTGCTCATCCCTCCTACAGAGGGTTAGAGGAGAGGATTAGGAGTGAAGGACCAAATGTTCAGTTCGGGTTCGACTCGCTCGTACGTTGCGGTGTTCGACTTTTAAAAGCAAACCTTGAACCGCTGACATGCCTACAACCGTTCGATCTGAACCGAACTGATTCAATTCAGTCTCAACAACAGTTCGAACCAGCTCGAAACAAACTCATTTGGGTAACCGTGTATCTTGATGTTTTACACAGCTCAACCTTTTCTATTGTCACCTAATCTCCCGATTAAGAGGCATGAAATGAACCGAAACAGAACCAGCTCTGGTCTTGATGACCTGAATCGAATAGGATGGAATAGGAGTTTCTTAGTTCGACTCTCAGACCCTAGTGGTCAATAAATGTGTTGCGCAGCACATATGTCCCAGTGGGTAGTTTCACACCTTTGAACTTAGAGGTCGTGGGTTCAACTATCAGCAGCTGCACATTCCCCTTGTATTATGCTCACCATGAAAAGTCCATACTCCACCACACTCACCCACAGTGAAGTGTGGTCACAGCTGGCATTGCCTCGTGTCCACTCATCCCATGCTCACCTTGCTGGCCCCTATGGTGTGCCATATTCTGCCATGTGGGCTGTTGTTCCAGCCTGTCCCGCATGTGCAACATGAGGCCTCACTTGCTAGCTTGAGAAGGTTGGCTAGCCTAGCCCTCAGCTTTGAGGTGCTGCAGCCAGCCTCAAGAGTTCAGCCATATATATGTGGCTTCCTACTTCACTAGAACTCATCCTTGGACAAGGACATTGCTCTAGCCTGTAAGGCTTGTACCATCTTCCTACTAAGGATATATTCTTCTTCTCATTGTGCACTGAAGTTCACTGATCCACTTTCTATAAACTGAACAGGCTCTCGTTTGGTTGTTGCTGATGCCTACTAAGAAGATACAAACTGCACATTGTGATAACAGAAAGGAGAAGCATATTCAGCGTATGATTTTTCATAGATCTCCAGCACTTGCATTTTGTTTCGCCGGAGTGGCACACATGTGTCAAACAAATTGGCTCTGATGGCCGAGGTGAAATAAATTCAACCCAAACTGCGTGCGGTGCTGGTTCAGTTCGACCATACAAGAGAACGATTTGACACGAACTTGAACTGCAATTCTGCTCTTAAAAAAACGCACGTGTGGACCAGAACCGCACGGGACACAGTCGCCATTCGACGTGCTTAACCAGTTCGATGTAATGTATGACATTCACAGCTGGAACATCAACTCGTTCAAGTCAAACCCTGACCCAGTTTCCCACGAAACATAAGGTGAGAAAAGGGCCCCAAGCCGGCTTTCTGCTCAACATGAGCCTCAACTCTATTGGATGATTGGGCGAAACAAGCAGGAGGATAAAAAAGAAAGCACAGCTGGAATTAATGAATCAATTCACACCTAATATGGAAACAAAATAGGAAGAGGTTGGCACATGAAGGGGAGAAAAGGGCAGGGACTAGCTTACAGAGACACTAGTTTTGTCATGTTTCCAATCTCAGCAGAAATGGAGCCAGTAAGCTCATTGTGATGGAAACTCCTGCATGGAGGAACAAGGAGTGCGATTGCAAGAGATGCAGAGGAAGAAGTAAGCAGAAATCATGCATGTCCATCACCAAATAGGGAATACCAAATTATGCAACAGAATTAGAGGGAGACTGTGAGGGCAAGCGAAACAGAGTGATGTAATGTGTGGGTCGTACAAGAATGTGAGCTGCGTGAGCTGGGTGAGAGTACTTGGTATGCTCCCATACAGCTGGTTGAAGGCGAGTGACCTGGTGGCCATGGTGGTGAGACGGAAGGATGTTAGAGGAGCGATGGGAAGGATAGAACGGGAGAACGAGGGCGGATGGAGTACCAGGTAGAGTAAGTGAGCGGTCCTTACGATTGACGGGCTGAGCAGGCACCGACTGTGGCTGGAGGCGTGATGGTGATACAGAATAATGGTGCACAGTTAAAGTGCTACATTCATATGCTCCATTTGCTTACTACAAGCAACCATTCTACCATGTGAGTCAAAAGTTTTAGACTCCATTGCAAGCAAAGCTTGCTCGCTCCGACGAGGCAAGAACGGGCGATACATCCGGAAACACGAAAAATAATTTGTCACCAAAAGAAATAATTATGTGATGTCTTTACTGCATGTAATATTTCATTCACTTGCTAAGTTCACGTTGGGCCACGGCTCGGGACAAACCGGCCCAGTTCGAAATTCGTCAAGCCACCAATCTAACTTTGCCGGTTCGGCCCGACGTGGGCCGACCCAAGTTTGTCTGCCTGCTCATGCGTACAGACGTGTAGTGAGGAGGATTAGCAGGACTGCCCATATACAGAAGCGATGGTTGATGTAGGCTAGCGTTTGCTCAATATTTGTGATGCCCATATACAAACTTTCCGGCCATTGTTAAATCTAGGTTGATCTCAGCTTCAGATTAGGCTCAGTTTCTTGTTATTATCATAGGCTGAACACGCCCTCGTCATAGGCTGAACACACCCTCGTCATAGGCTGAACACGCCCTAGTTTCAGTTGGGGTTTCACCCCAGCCTGCTGTTAGAAATATACATTGTAGCATGCCAACACTTGTGACTGTACACCAATTGTGGTGTACAGTTGGGTTGGGACTACACCCAACTTTGGGTGTATGTGGGGTGCCAATCCACCCAATTGTGGTGGAGCCCCCAAATGCAACCCACTTGGCTTATGGTTGCCTCACTTCCCACAATTGAGGCCAACCCAACTCAAGTGGGCCTAAGGTTGCCTCACTTCCACAAAGTGTGAACAACCCAACCCACTTGACCTAAGGTTTCCTCACCCCCCAAAGTGAGGCCAACCCAACCTATGGTCAAACTTGCCCTTCCCCCTCCAAGCTTCTCTTCCATCTATGTATGCTTGTTTCTTCTCTAATGAAATCACTTGTTCAGTCTATAAATTTCACACCTGCTCTATAACCTTGTAGAGATGAACACAGAACCGAACATAGGTTCAGTTCGGGTTCGACTTCTACCGTGCTATGTTCGGATCTCACATGCGTACAACGGTTCAAACCGAAGAAAAGTGGTTCAGATTAGTTTTGACAACAGCTTGGCCCAGTTCGGAACGAACCACTTTGGGTTCAATAGTTGCTCAGGTCTAACCTTGTATCTTGATGTTTTACCCAGCTCAACTTCCTCTCTAGTCACCTACTACTCCCTTTTCGGATGCATGCGCAAGAATTGAACAAAAACAGGCTCTGGTTTTGCTCATTCGAAGCTGAACATGTTTCGATTGAACCGGTATCTGGGTCGTCCCTGGGTCACTTCATGGTTCGTTCCTTATGGGTCAAACTGTACTGGTTCGACTGATAGGGTCACCCGAACCGGTTCTGGTATAATTTGAACTGGTTGTGGGTCAAGTGCGCCAGAACGAAACAGGTTCTGCCTCAGCTGTTCCTGATGCCTACGCAGAAGATAAAAACGGCACATTTGTGACAACAACAAGGAGAACCTTATATCAGAGTAGAAAACCACATCAATCTCTAGCACTTGCTTGTGGTTGGCCAGAGTGCCACACATGTCGAAAACAGTTTGGATCTGATGGTCGGGATAAAATCCATTCGACCATACAAGAGAATGATCTGGTGCAGACGTGGACTCCAATTCTGCTCTGGAACTCCCGTTAATTCGCACGGGTGGTCCAGAGCCGGCCAGGTACCAGTCGAGGTGCGGCCCATTCGACGTGCTGAACCAGTTTGATGCAATGCACGACATTCATAGCTGGAACATCAACCGGTTCAAGTCGAACCCTGCCTGGCCCGGTTCGCCTCGAACCAAAACGCGAAAATAAACAGGCCCGGTTCAGTTTTCCGCTCACCGGTAGAATATGAACAGGGAACAAGCAGGAAGATCAGAAAAACGAACAGATTCTCAAATGAAGGGGAGAGAAGAGTGGTGACGGGCTTACAGGAATGCTAGTTTTGTCATGTTACCAATCTCAGCAGGAATTGAGCCACTGAGCCGATTGCCATAGAGACTGCTGCATAGACCAACAACGAGTGTGATGCCAAGAAAGGCAGAGGAAGATGTGAGCAGGAATCTAAGAAGATTCATGTGGGTCACCTAGCACATCGGGGCAGAAAGGGACACAAGGATCGTACAGTACACATGAGCGAAAAAACCAGCCCACTTCGCCCCACGGCGGTTCGTCAAGTGTCCAACTGGACCTTATTTTTCTCTCGGTCGGCCTGCCTAAGGTTGAGCAGAAGGGCGAACACCTGTACGTTTCGCCTTGAACATGTTCATGGCGAACCGAACAGGAACAGGTATTTGTTTCTGGCCCTTTATGCTCGGGTCAAACATGTTCGAGTTCACCCAAACATGTTCGTGTTCGGTTTGTCGCAGGTGGCCGAGCCGCGTGTGTTCGTGTTGGACTGTGCTTGTGGCGAACACGTTACTTTGAACTCATGCTACATCATTGTTTCCTGAGCTACAGCCAAAGTTGAACACAAACATGCGCGGGTTAAACACTCGAACACAAACAGATGTCATAGATAATCCATGAACAATGAAGTTGCAATGTCCTGAAACCCCCTCTCCCCCCTTCTCAAACGGTTATATCACCTGCCCGGAGTTTTTCTTGCGTGCCCAGCACATTCCACAATAGTTTTAATGATTGCACATTCCAGAATTATTCGATTACAAATGAAAACAAGGCCATTGATCTTCATTCAATATTGACATCCTTTGCAGGTTCATTCATCAAGACCTTGGAACCCGCTTACAAAAAAGTAAGAGCAGTGAGCTTCGTGATGGAGGAGGGAAAAGATTCTGTCAGCATGTTGAAGTAGAAAGAGCTGTTGGTGGTGTGGGGGGTGGACGCACGAGAAGAGAGGAGGTGACCTTAGTTGGAATTGACGGAGCCAGCGTTTTTTACGCTAGCGTTTTGACGCTACTTTTTTCACGCTGAACGGAACCCTCTGAGAGTTTAACGGTGGTTTATTTACCTCTGTCAGGCAGACAAAAAAACCCTTCGGGCAGCAAAAAAACCAGGGGGGGTGGGTCGCGGGGGGGTGGGGGGAGGTGGGGGGGGGGGGGAAGAAGGTAAGAGGGTAGTTGAGGGTTTGGGAGAATTTTGCTGGTCGAAACCCTAGAATGAAGTCGATTAAGTTGAGGAGTGGGCTAAATGTGTGTGTTATGGTTGGGTGATGTAGTGCAGGTGTAGAAGTAGTGCGGTGGAAAGGGGTGGGTTTTCTGTGTGGTGTCTTGTCGAATAAAATCTGGAATCGCGATTTCGGCGCGAACTCCCGAAATGTGATTTCTTTTTGCCGATTTTTTTTTCGATTTGGGCAGCCCAAAATTGTTTTCAACAACTGTCCTACTTCAAAACGACCATCCAGTGTCTAGCATCAAAACGCTCCGTTTTGACGCTGGACGTTGGCCTGTCCCAGTGTCAATTCCAACTAAGGAGGTGACAAAGTCGAGAGAGGAGATAGCAGGGAGTGGACATGAACGTAATTCTACTAGTCTGATCCCTATAATGCCAGAAGCAGCGGGAAGTGAGCTGTAAACGTATGCGCTGGACGCGCCCTAAGTCTACTAGTCTGATCCTACTCCGCCGGCTCTGCTCCTGGCTCCACGAGCCGGGCTCGTCAAGACCCGGCAGTCAGGTCGATGAGTAGTCTACTCATCGGTGAGACTAGACAAGCTTGTCCTGAAGGCTTGTCCACGCGGATCTGGTGGGTAAATGGCGACGGGCACTTCTGGCACAGCTCGTGGAAAAGCTGGAGCCGAGTCGTACTGCCGCGACCAGCTTGCCAACGATGGACGATCCGGGTCAGCAGCAGCAGGTCCGGCTCGGCAAGCAGAGTTTCCCGCTTGGCTTTTAAGCCCGCCGGCTTGTCATGTTGAGTGCAATACATATTTTGCACGGCAACCTACCGCCCATTCGCCGACGGTAATGGAAAGTGGAAGTGTTTTGCTTGAAGGTAATTTGTGGCGTGGAGATATTGGTGCAGCAGTTGAAGCAGGTTAATTCTCGACTTGCAGCAGCTGAAAAGATAAATGTGCTCGGTGCTGATGAGAAAAACGGTGCAGATTTCAAGGGGAGCATAGTTGAGGCTGTCGCTGCAGACGAGGAGAAAGATGTTCCAAATAGTAATAATCGTGAGCAGCAGAAACACAAGGGCACGGTGGAGCTGAAGGGTGCTGCTAAGAAGGAGAAATCATTGGTGCTGAATGTGGGAGGATATGAAGCTGATGGGGCAAATGTGTTTTGTGAACCCAAGGTGAAGTTGAGTTTGAAGGAAGCTGAGATTGCGGGGGAGCAGATGAGTGCATTCCCTAAAACTGGAGTTGGGATTAGTTATGCGGCGGCATTGCTGAAAGGCGAAAGGAAAGAGTTATTCAAGAAGGGGGAGCAGTTGGGCAAGGGTGCCAACCCTCCTATGCCAATAACTAAAGCAGTAAAGGGAGTTGTCAAGTCCACTGATGTCGGGGGTGGATTCGAATAGTCGGAAGGTTGAGGGGGTGTTTGTTGAGTGCAATACATATTTTGCACGGCAACCTACTGCCCATTCGCCGACGGTAATGGAAAGTGGAAGTGTTTTGCTTGAAGGTAATTTGTGGCGTGAGAGATGTGCATGTAATTATGCATTTTGTGTGTGCGCATTTTGTGTGTGTTCTGTGCGCATTTGTTTCTGCATTTTGTGTGTTTCGTTTTCATTCGTAATTGCATTTTGTGTTTGTGCATTTTCAGTTTCGTCTTCACTGTTCTCATGAAGCGCTCAAATGAGGCTCACATGATGCGCTCAAATGAGACTCCCACGAAGTCTCAAATGAGGCCCTCATGAAACTCAAATGAGTTCACATGAAAGTCACATGAGAAATATTTCATGCGAGGCTCATATTGGCGAGCTTCGAATGATTTATGCGAGGCTCATTGAAGTTCCATATGCCTCGAATATTTCATACGAGGCTTATGTGAGTGAGTGGTGTGCTGGGGGGCTCGATTGTTTGACTGGTCAAGGGGGGTGCTGTTTGACTGTTTCGAGCGAGTCAAAGGGTGCGAAAATCAGGACCGCGTGTGAGTCCTGATTCGCGCGTGTGGCCCCTCAGGGTTCGAGCGTGTGGCGCGTTCTGTTGCGCGTGCACTGTACTGCACGATCGCAACAGGACAGGGCCCATTTCGGCCCTGTCCCTTACTGTACACGCGCATGATTTCGATCATGGCGCGCTGTACAGCACGACCGAGAAAATATCTCGGTCGTGCGTGTGGCACAAGGGGTGCTCGGAATTTACAGTTGAAAAACCGTTTTCCGAGTTGACTCACGGGACGGGAAATTTCTCACGAAATTCACCTCGCTTTGCGGAATCATTTCGACACAGGTGCAAATCGGTTACTCCGTTTTTCAAACGGTAAAAACCGTTATATAACTGTGAGCTCGCATGAAGACATTGGAGCTACATTGGAGCCACATGCGAGCCTCATGGGTGTACACATTTGAGTCTGCAGGGGCAACTGTTACAAGTGCAATTTGAAGACAGTTTTTAACAACAGGAGGATATAGCCAAATGTTCAAGGAGTTGAACAACCGTTTTCAAGTACAGCTTGGCGAAATCCTGCGCGCTAGTTAAACAACTGTTTTGTGCTTGCTCCTGCCTGTGCGTAGAATTTATATAAATGTGTATGCTTGTACCTGTCGAGATTAATTCAATGCATTCGCGTTTTTGCAAGCTTGGATTCTACTACTTCGTATTGACGAGAGTAGAAACGACCACGGGGCTACCGAAACTTTGTTCAACCAGTTCACTCATTCTACAATCATAAACAAGGCATAACTACTCACTTGCGTTTTTCCCACGCCCTTGGCTGGGAGGTGACAAGGTGTCACACTCAAAGGGCTGCAAGTGATGTTAAGTGTTGCTAAGTTTTTGTTTGTAGTTCAAGCTTAATCGCTTCCGCAGAACGCTATAGCTTTCAACATGTCACAGCTCATAACGAGCCGGCTCAGCCCATACTTATGCTTATCTGGCAGAAAGGAGCCTTACAGGGATGCCAGAGATAGTAGAGAGCCAATTTCCACAGGGATTGAACCCGTGAGCTGACTACTCCCAAGCAACCTGCCATTGTGCAGAATGCAGGTATGACGAACCAGACCAGCAGGTGGGGTTTTACCACGGGCAGCACAGCGGAGGACGAAAGGATTTCCCCATAAAAAAGAACCCCTAGTATCATGAAATAGGAGAAGGAGAGGAATGCTGGATATGGTTTATGAAACTAGGGAAGTACGGAGAAAGAGGTGAGATTGCGATAAAAAAAAAAATGTGGCACACCAGTTGAACCACACGTGAACCACAACCCATCCATTCAGACACTGGATAAATGGGTGTAAATGGGTGCTTCACAATTGAATCCATGCATGCGAATACATCTGTATCACGTCACCCCCTTAAGCTGTTAGCTCACGCTCAACATGAGAAAACTTCTTCTGTGATTGCACTAGATTAGAGTGTAACTAACAGGTGAGAAATTTGGGTGAGTGTGCTGATGGCAGCAGGTATGCTGCCAGATAGCTGGTTGCTTGAAACGTCTCTGAGTAAACAAATAATGCCAAACAGAAAATACCACTAGGGTTATCGGAAGGCAAAAGGATACAAGAGAAGACAGAACAAAGGAAGAGGCAGGACTGCAATGAGGTTGGGGGAACAATGAAGGGCGAATAATGATTGAAGTTGATAATGCCTTAAAGACGGACGAGATGAGGCAAGGTGCTACAAGAATGTGAACCAACAGGAGTGACGGAACTATGATATTACGGCTGGACATAAAAATCGAACGAAACCTTCGCTCGGTTTGTTCGAACAGGTTCGACTGCGGGCGAACCAAATTTTTGGACCAGATCTGGCCATGTTGCACACCAGACTTAGTCGACCGTTAGGGCAACCCTCCTTTCCCCCCCTCCACTGTCATTTGTTCTCCCTTGTCCTGAGTGGACGCGCGTGAGTCTAGTGGTTAAAAGAGGCGGGTCGGGTCGCGAAACGTAGGCCCGTCACATTTTAACACGACCCGACCCGAATTTAAGTTGTGCCGACCCGTCCCACGGGTCAGCGTGACCCAAATTCATTAGCCGAATTCGGGTCTCGTGTCAAACCGACCCGTGACCAGAAAGCCAACCCAGAACCACTGGGTCGGCTAAATCAGAAACATGACCCGTCCCGATGAAAAAAATGGGACGGCTTGGGTCGAGCCGTCAGGCCTTTCTGCTCATGCCTACTTTCATTTGGTTTGGCCAGAAAGACATGGATGTCACTGGAGGTAGAATGGAAACATTAGGTAATGAGCTCAAGGCTCATAAGTACATCTGAAACGGGCAAACGATGGGTAGGGATGAGCAAAATCCCGAACGCCTGTTCGGTTCGCCTCGAACATGTTCGAGGCGAACCGAACAGGCATTTTTTTTGCCTAAAATGTTCGGGCCGAACATGTTCGGTGTTCGGCCGAACATGTTCGCCGTTCGCCCCAGAATTTCGGGGCTCCAAGCTGAACACGAACATGTTCGAATTCGACTTGGGGGCCACGCGAACACCAAAAGGGTTTGCGTCAAAATTGGCCGCGACCAAATTTAGGTCGCGACCAATTTGAGTTTGAGCTCATTTCGTGAGCTCAAACTCAGAACTCGTTTTCACCTTAGCCCTCCCTCACACAGCCGCCCTAGCCTTCTTGTTTTAGGTGCAAGTGCACGCCGTTACTTCCAATCTAAACGGACATTAGATCTAGGACTAGGGTTTACCGTAGTGTAGGGTGTTTAGGGTAACTTTAAGGTTCAGTAGCATCTCCGCATAGGGATCAAGTAGGGCGTGCTCTACGCCGTAGGGTTCGGATCGGGCATTTCAGAAACCTTACCGTGCTGGAAAACGTTTAGGAACGTGCGGCACGAGGAACGCTACCGTTGCACCGAGGGTGTTTTAGGGTTTTAGGGCCGAGGGCGGAGTTATGGCTTCCAGCCCTGGTGGATCCATAGGCCGAGGTGCAGGCAGGGCTCAGGGCAGCGCACCAGGTTCTCCACCACGACCTATGCAGGGGCGAGTAGGGGATGGACCGGGAGGAGCCGGCGCGTGCTTCGTTGGGGGGTCGCTCACCGTACCGGCGCCGACCTCTCGTCGCTCTTTCCGTTACGACGGCCCTCGACCCCCTCCTTCGGGGCAGACGCAGCCAGAGAGTGGCAGTGAGGAGGAGGATGATGGTGAGGGCGAGAAGGATGAGGACAATGAGGGGAGCGGGGATGACAGTGAGGCCGGGTGGGACCCAGAGACGCATGGCGGTGGGGAGGGGGGAGATGGTGATGATGAAGACCACGAGATGGATGGGTTGGAGCCAGAGGGGCGGGAGGAGGAGGTGGGAGAGGGTGGTGGAAGGGCGGCGACAGAGGCGGGATCACAGCATGTGCGTGAAGGGGGAGGGAGCGTGGGGGTTAAGGTGGGGGGGAGAAAGGCCGCGACCATTAGGGAGCCGAGGCTGAGGAAGAGGGCGAACAAGTTGAGGGAGCGGGCGTATCCCTGCACGTTCACTGGGGAGCCCTGGGACGAGGGTGTGATCGCTTTGGAGTTCCTAGACGAGGACGGAGGGTCCGAGAGTAGTAAGGGGACTGGCAAGGGTAATAGGAAGCCGGGGTGGCAAGTACTGATGTTCGGACCGTTAGGGGCAGACGAGAAGCGTCAGTGCAAGATTTGCACAGACAGGATTTCGTGGAAGCAATCCACAACAACACCCGGCGAGCAGCACTTTGCGAGCTACCACACTGCGCACATGCATGTGTGGCATCACCGTTACCACAACCCGTCCGTTCAGTTGCCAGGGGAGACGTTTCCCCGTGGGGGCTACAAGGGAGTGCCGGATGGCTACGTCTATCAGTGGCCACATGCCAAGACTTGGCCGCATCTCGCCAAGGTGAAAGGGAAGGCGTCTGGTGGAGGTCATGGGTCAGGCGGGATCGAGCGGTTCATGACAACCAAACTGACCTCGGTGCAGCTACGGCAGGCGATCATGAAGCTGGTGGTCACCTGCGACCTCCCCTTCCGCATCGTCGAGGCCGAGGCTGTGAGTGCCCCATCCCATCCCATGCATGATTGGGCAGTATGTGGATAGTGGACGGGTCTGGCCCTTTGTGTTTTGACTATTAGCGTGTGGCCCAGTGCCATATTATGTCAAACCCATCCCCCTGACGTTTACTCCCCTCTCCCTCGTTGTCTCTACCCCTCACCAGTTTCGGGAGCTTTTGATCCTGCTAAACCGCAACTGCGCGCAGAAGAACTTCATCCCCTCGCGCTGGACGGTTTCCCGCGATACTGTGGTCTATGCGGCTGCCGCTCTTCAGTCAGCCATTGCGGAGATGCTGGCGAAGGAGGGGGACCTGGGGTGCAGGGTGTCGTACACCATCGACATGTGGATGGCGCCCAACAACAGGGCGTGGCTAGTGGTAACTGGTCACTGGGTAGACGAGAATTTCCAGCTGCGCACAATGGTGTTTGAGTTCCGCGAGATTCACGGGCGGCACACGGGCAAGCAGATGGCGAGGGTGGTTGAGGAGACGGTGGTGCAGTGGGGGTTGGAGACGCGTTGTCTTGGTTTCACCTCAGACAACGCCTCTAGCAACACTGCCGCTTTCAGGTGGATGTCGGAGGAGGGTGGTGGCCAGTGCTTCTTCAACTCGCGCATGCACTTCCGGTAAGAAAGGGAGTGTGCGTGGGATGTGCGATGTGGGAGTCTGGGTGCGTCGTTCCTGCGTGAACAACTTGTGGTTGTACGTGCGGGTGGGCCAGTGAAGGCTGAAGTGGTAGGGTGTGTCGGGTCTATGCCAATATGTACTCACACTTCCCTTTCTCTCCGCCATTAATGTTCTGTGATGTGCGCAGATGCTTGGCACACGTGATCAACCTTGCAGTGAAGGCAGCTCTCGCTGTGACCACCATCCGCAAGTTGTTGAAGATTCTGAGAGAGATGGCGTCGTGGATAGGCTTCTCGCCGCAGCGCTAAGGGAAGTTCTTGGGCCTTCAGCGGACCTTGAACGCGCAGGCCAACCCCGCCAAACCGAAGCCGGCATTGAAGGTGGTGCAGGACAGTCCCACGCGCTGGGGGTCGACCCACGACATGGTCGAGCGAGCTGGGGTTCTGCAGGAACCCATCTCAAACACAGACACAGGTGTGTGTGTGTGTGACAGGTGTTGTGTATGCGGTTTAATGTGTGGGTATGTCGGGGTGTTTTGTTCTAGCACTTGCACCACTGTTGACCAAACTTATCGGACCCCCAACAACCTCAACCACCCTACTTTCCATCTTAACACCCGCCAACCCATACCCTCTACCCAACAGGGCTTGTCGAAGGCTGACAAGGCGAAGGTGGGGACCCTGCGCCTGACGGACGCAGACTGGGAGACTCTGCATGCTGTCAAGACGTTCCTCAGCCCATTCGCCAAAGTCTCAAAGGCGGCGGAGGGAGCGGCGTACCCTACAGTGGCGATGGTGCTGCCGTACTACAACGGCCTGATCGACGCTATGGAGTCGCGCCTTGCCAAGGGGCCATCGGCTACGCTGAAGCCGATGATTGAGGCGGCGCTGGGTCTCTTGAAGAAGTATGAACTGATGTCCAGCAACGAGTTGTGGATCGCGACCTTCCTGGACCCTTCCATGAAGGCGGCGTGGTTCGACGTCCCGCACTGGGAGACGCTGCATCCCGAGACCGACCGGAGGGCGAGGCCTCGTCCCTCGTCAGGCGAGGTGATCCAGCTGGTACGCGACCGCGTGACCGAGTACCAGGCCCGGGCTGCAGCGCTTGCACCTCGGCCAACCCCACTTGCCCCAGTGACGGAGGAGGAGGAGGGGGACGCGGCGGATGACGACGAAGACGCGCAGTTTATCCCTAGTCGCCGACGACTTGCGGCGCGTCTGTCGGCGAGCCAGTAGGCGGGGAGGGGTGGGATGGTGCAGGATGACGAGGTTAGCAGGTACTTATCTGAGAGGGTGCGGTGCGACGTGTCAGCGTTGGAGTATTGGCGCAACGCCAGCAACATGCAGACGCTGAGGCGCATGGCCCGGGATTATCTTGCCATCCCTGCCACGTCCGCGTCGAGCGAGCGCGTGTTCTCCCTCGGCCGCAACCTCATTTCCTGGAAGCGGCACCGCCTAGCCTCTCAGAGGACGCGAGCTGTCATGATTCTCAGATCATGGTACAGCTCACACCCTGGACAGAGGATAGGCGAGGGCCGCCGTGCAAAAGGCGAGGCACCACCAGAGTTCGCCATTGAAGGCGAGGGGGAGGAGGAGGACGACGAGGAGGAGGAGGAGGAGGGGGAGGAGGAGCAGGAGGGGGTGGGTGCTGGCGACACCACTGACGCGGAGCATGCTGTTGTTGGTAGTAGCAGTGGAGTTCAGGCGTAGGACTTCATTTGACAGCGACTTTTATATTCACAGAACATGATGGTGTCGTATGCTTGTGTGCGTTGCATGAACACAGATACTCCCTCCACACCCCTATCTATCTTCCCGACCCTCCAGATCCCCTGTTTGACCACTGTGACTATAACGAAATTGCCC